ACAGAGGGACAGGGAGGGACAGGGAGGGGACAGAGGGACAGAGGGACAGGGAGGGACAGAGGGACAGGGAGGGGACAGAGGGACAGAGAGGGGACAGAGGGACAGGGAGGGACAGAGGGACAGGGAGGGGACAGAGGGACAGAGGGACAGGGAGGGACAGAGGGACAGGGAGGGGACACGGGGACAGCCCCGGGGTGGCGGTGCCATGGGGGGGTACGGGAATGGCTGAGCCGGGGGGTTTGGGGGTACCTGGGGAGGGAATCGATGGGGAGGGGTCTCACCTGGGTAGGGTCTCACCTGGGCAAGGTCCCACCTGGGCAGGGTCTCACCTGGGGAGGGTCTCACCTGGGGCGGGTCCCACCTGGGCAGGGTCTCACCTGGGGCGGGTCTCACCTGGGCAGGGTCTCACCTGGGCAGGATCCCACCTGGGCAGGGTCTCACCTGGGCAGGGTCTCACCTGGGGAGGGTCCCACCTGGGGAGGGTCTCACCTGGGGAGGGTCTCACCTGGGGAGGGTCCCACCTGGGCAGGGTCTCACCTGGGCAGGATCCCACCTGGGCAGGGTCTCACCTGGGCAGGGTCTCACCTGGGCAGGATCCCACCTGGGCAGGGTCTCACCTGGGGCGGGTTCCACCTGGGGAGGGTCTCACCTGGGGCGGGTCCCACCTGGGGAGGGTCTCACCTGGGGCGGGTCCCACCCGAGGCCAGGTTCCCTGCCCACGGGGGTCGCGCCCCCTCTGTGCCCACCGGGGGGGTCCCCATAACGACCCCAACCCCCTCCCCCAGGTGGGCGCGCACGCTGAGCTCGGCGGTGCCACCCGCGGGTGGCACAGGTGGCACGGCAGGTGGCACGGCAGGTGGCACGGGTGGCACGGGTGACACCATCTTCGCGCTGTCCTCGGCGCCGGGGCGCTGCGGCGTGGCCGTGATCCGGGCCAGCGGGCCGGGCAGCGCGGGGGTCCTGCGCAGCCTCACCGGGACCCCCGGGCCGCCCCCGCCCCGGGTCCTGGCCCTGCGCCGCATCCGCGACCCCCAGAGCGCCGAGACCCTGGACAGGGGCCTGGTGGTGTGGTTCCCAGGTGGGAAATGGGGCTGGGGGCGTGGGGAGCGGTTCCTGGGTGGGAAATGGGGCTGGGGGCGTGGGGAGCGGCTCCCGGGTGGGAAATGGGGC